TACAACAGATGCTGTCAATGAAATTGACATTGCATAGTACAATAATTGTTATAAAAATTTTTTCAATACATTGAACAATATTCAAAATTTAATTTCAAATACGTTCAATATGTATGTATTATATAGATTTGTATATCAAAATTGCTTACCGTTATCAAAAAATAATTATATCGGCTTCAATAAGAATGATTGAATGTTGGTATGGTATGACAATAATAGTGTTTATAAATGTGTGAACACATCTAAGATTACAAAATGATGATGTCATTTGATTACATATTCAATTACTTACTGTTTGCTTATACGAAAAAATTTACGATTTAATCGGAGTCTAATAAAAGCAGTATATTATGTAAAAGCAGCTTCAAATCAAACTTTGTCTGACGAAAAATAAGAGTTATAATTCTGTTCTTATCAGACTTACTTTACTGGCAGATATTTTAAAAGTAAAATGGCGACAATTAATTTTTTTTGGTTATTTCAAGTAACGATCAGCTGACTTTCGTTATGATTATAATTTTTGTAGCAAAATTATTAAATTTTGATTCCGCCATCAGATATGTAAACAGTCATCAGATTTTATCTACGGTTTAATCTTAGATTTCGTCTTGTATGTAAGCAGTACATAATATTTTCAAGAATGGCATGACGTTTAAAACAAAGCCTAAACAGACATGACTGAATATTTTTTTAAAATTTTGTTCTATAAATCTTGAAAGTTCATAAAGGATCTGCATATAAATGTTGAAGGTTACATTTTAATTCCAAATTGTGTAAAAATCATAAATAAGAATGAGAAAATTTTTTAATTAACTGTTTAATAGAGAACCGTCAAGAAATGTAAACATTTCGCTCTTGCTTTGACAACATGTTAATATTACATTTTTTCATTTTAGAATGATTATTCCATTGTAGTAATTACTTAACTCTTATATAATATTTATACACTTTGACTGCAATGAAATTTTGTTGCATTGCAATTTGTATTGCATAAAACCATACACGAACACATCCTTTTTGTACTTCTCAAACCCATGTAAGCACGAGTACATATACATAAATCGAATATAAGAGAACCAAATTTAATTTAAAGGTAAAATGAATCCAAAAGGGTTATAATATTATTTTTGAAAAGAGTAAGTAAGCTGTAATGTTAAATAAAAAGTTTTTAATATAGAAACTCAATTAAATGTGGTCTTTTGTGAATATTTCTGTTCTTTTTCCATTATATTTGATTAAAGTGACATTGCAATATGCTGGTTTCTTTTTTCAATGATAATGCAAGTAATAATTGTGAGTAACATATGGAACCGAGGATTTTTTTAAGCTCTTTGGCAATTAAAAAGAATTTTGAATAAAAAGTTGATTACAAAGAGAAAATTATAGTTTTAAATAATATTAAGGGTTTGTAAAATAGAACACTTCTTTGTAAGGATGAAAGAAGTGAAAATTACATTAAGATTGTTAGATTAAATATCCTATGTATATTAAAAAATACCAAAATTTTACGAAGAATAACGTTAATGGAAAACATTAAAGTTTCTTGTAACAAAAAACAAAATAACTGGTTTACAGACAAGTAAAATTAATAAAGAGAAATAGCAGCTTTTTGAATTAAACACATGCAAAAAGTTGGTTAGTCTATAATAGACATATATTTGAATTGAAGACCCACCAGCAGGCGTAGAAGATTACATGAGGTAGACCAAATAATACCAGTAAATAAAAAATGATACAAATTTCTTTCTCCCTTCGTAAATAATTAAATATTACATGATTGGAAATCAAATTTAAATATTTTGTAATGAAACCGATAAATAACAGCCGACTAAAGACAAACAAACAGACTTTGTCTTAAGTTGTTTTTCTTTTTGTGAAAAAATTTTGAATTTTGTTCAATTCAACGTTTGGAAATGGTGGACAAATACCTGTGGGTATTCAAAGGATTAATGAAAATATTATTGTAGTCTTGTTGAATATTTTGTGTTCTTTTTTTATTTTTTTTACTTTGACACACAATAGCACTTAATAGTTTTTACAATTCAACGACTCTTAATGAAAAGAGTCTCTTGCTTTTTTTTTTTTGTTTCACGGTTATGCTTTTTAATTGAAACTTTAACAATTTTTTTTTAAGTTGTCTGAAAACAAATTATATTCACTCAACTGAAAACTTGGTTCTGCAAAAACTTTATGGAGTGAATATTAGACAATTATTATATTTTGAAGTAAAAACTTTTTATTATAAAGGAAAAATAAGTGCTAAAAATTTTCCAAAAGAGATTAATAACATCAAAAGCATAAAGTGATTAAAGTAAGTGAAAATTTTATTTTACAATTTTACAAACAGTTTTGTGAATACTGTCTGGTTTTTAATTTTGTGAAAATTTATAATGTGTAGACCCCAGTGGAAGCTTGAAAAATTAATTAAAAGAATGGTTATGCTGCATGGTATTTATGAAAATTTTAAAGCAACCTTAAAATTTAAAATTATTTTAAAATTATTCAAATACTAAAATTAAATTTGTGACAGATGGACACATGGAAACTATTAGTTTCTATATTATTTTGAAATTTGTTTGTAATTTACTTTCACGTGAAATACAATATTTAAAACAAATTTTTTTTTTCATTTTCAGGCTGTCAATTTAATTTGTATAAACTTAATTAACTCAATTGAAAGCCCATTCCCATATGTAAGCGTATTATCTACGTATGTATATACATATGTATGTTCTAAGGTGTCAATTCCGATAGCAGAAAGAAATAAAGTTGAAGCAAACCAATGGTTTGTATAGCAGCACTTTCGCTTTAATATAATGGCAAATTCAAGAGCAATATAATTGCGTGAGCATGACATTTTACTGCCTGCTTTCTGCATTTATAGAAATTTGGAAATTCTTTCAGTTTCGAAAATATAAGGTGCCGAAAATTTAAATTTTATAAATTCAGAAAAGCGATACCTTTAGAGGAGATTCAGGTAGAAAACAATTTTAATCCAACGAAATAAACAATTTATTATTATCTAAAAACTGTTAGAATTTCAGACTACTTCACCTTATCGTCTAGAAGAAAATCGAAAAACTGTATCAAAAATTTTCTCCTACGTTTCTAAGTTTTTAGTGAAAATCTGTTTATTTTATATGTAAATTTAAATACTTTCAGCTTTCTATCCTAAAACGCTTAGATGTTTTGTAAACAGCTCCACAGACGGACAAACGGACGAACAAGAAGAGCTGTGAAACTAAAAAATACTTTTTTTCAATTTTTTTTATAAAAGTGCTGAAAAAAGAAAAACTTAAAATTTTAATGTTTAATTTTTGTTTTAAAAGGAGAACATTTTGTATATTGTGTACATTTTGAATTAAAATATACTTATGTAAATAAATTACAAACAAACACATATTCGTGTAAAATACACATTTATGGCATAAGTACTTACAATTCTGTAAACGCACATATTGTTAAAAGAAAAACAAGAAATATTTAATATCGGGCACGTTATAAGGCACACTCTTTATAAGTGTATAGATGCCATAGAGCATACGAAAATGATATTAAAAGAACAAACAAGAACGAAAATTTTTTTTTTTTTGAAAATGGTTTCAAATCACGGAAATAAATTTAATGGAAGAGGATATCCGGTATAAGGATTGAGTGGCGGACTACTATTTATATAAATATACATACGGATATACTTATAAAATATTTTATATTAAAGTTTTTAGATTAGAAATCGTCACGAGAAAAATTATGACATTATACAAGTTTCATATATCATTGTGGACATAAATTATTTAAGTATATTCGTTTAAGTGTTTTATTGGTTTTTAGTTGCGTCAGCTTTATAACTATATTACATAACCGCAGCACAATACACAAATATCAATTTTTAATGTTATTCATTCACACAAATATTTTTGTTAAATATTTTCAATTATGTCCATACGTATTACATAAGTTGAAAGCAATGAAGAACTTGAGTCTAAAAAATGAAAGGCTTAAAAAAAGTATAAAGTTCAAAAAACTTAAACATGCCATTGAGCAAAAATTTTAATGTCTTTCGAGAACTTTTCAACATTGAACTAATTTTTCTAAAATCTAAAATTTTAAAAAACGTTCCTGCATAAAACTTGTAACGATTTTGGCCCTTTTCGAAGGTAAATTGAAAGATGAATTTATTTTAAACATAAATATGTTAATATGTTAAAATAATACACACACAAATATATTTATCACAATTCGCAGCCTTTTCTCAATAGAAAATCTTTTAAAGTCTTTTCATAATCTTTAACAGCTATGTGTCTAAATCCAATCATCGGTTACAAAATAATAAAATAAATAAAAATTCTTTTAATAAATTATCGTTTATGAGATTCTAAAAATAAACAAAATGGTAAGTGGAAAATACTCTTGAAAATAAAGTGGGAAATGTAAAGAAAAATGAAATTTATACTTTTTAAATAAAGTAGATAGCGTATATTTTTGGAAAATTTTTGAAACATTATTTTGTTAACACAGGTTTTCTCTTTAAAATTTGTAGATCAAAGTGTTTCTACTCATCTCATTACAGTAAGGAGCGTGAAACTTTCAACGGAATAATGTTTCTCAAAAAATATATTCAGAGCATAAACAAAGTATTTTTGGATAAACTGTCTGATTGTAGAACAATGTTTAATAAGATGAATTGGAAACTTCTTGGAAAGATCGAAATTCAAGAACTTAATGCTTGTTTTCAAAGGGTCTCTTTTCATGCTTTTAACGCATAACTTACAACAATAAAAGGCAATAATAATAATATAAATATACTTTCTTTAAATTTTAAATCTTAAGCTCTCCTAATGTTGGCAAACTGATATAACTTTCCTGCAACGCAGTTGTACATAATAATATGTTAAATGAGCTTAAATAAGTTTATAGTTTAAATTATCAATGAAAATAATAAAAATTAAATTCTATTATGGATAAATTAAATTATAGATAAATAAAAATGGTAAACTTACCCCTAAACTCCACACGGCCAATTAAATTCGATTTCGCTTTAGGTAAACGAAATTGTATTAATTTAACTGTAAGAGACATTTTGTTTAATTTGTTTCCTTGATGATGCTTGTTGCTTCCTTATTTTTTCAACTTATTAGTTCTAAATACAGTTATAGTCATAAAGTACAATTACTATATTTTGTATATACAATAGTTTCCAAGCGTCCGCTCTTTCTCCCTTACTGTGTTTTGTATATCAAAAAATATTTAACCTTGACATGCTTTATAAGATGCTGCTTTGTTCAATCTAAGAAAACTTTGTAAGTTATTGCATATAATTAATTCCATTGTATATATACATATGTATATATATACTTATATTATGTACAAAAATTTTATTTGCTTGAGATGGAAAATATTTTTTCCTTTGTGCTATATACAGTAATATAAATACACTTAGACATCTTCTGCAATGCTTGAATGATCGCTTGAATGGTACATAATTGTCGTTAAAGTTTTTTCTTTTATTTCTGAAGAAATTGATAAGTTCATCTGAAAATAATAAGAAAAAATATATATAAGTATGTAGCTATATATTAAATGAATTGGAATAATTTTTTTTTCTTAAGAGTAAACTGTTGTGTAAAAGGACGCTCTTCTTAAATACATATAAGAAAAGCAAAAAAAAACTTTTATTGGAATTGAATTTGAAATTTGAATTATTTCTATTGTGAATGAAATTAATAATAAGAAAAAGAAAAACACCATAGACAACTTGATAAGAGATGGGTACTTAATTTTGTGTTTTGTTTTCTCTTTTGTTTGTTTATGATTTTTGGTTTTATAAATAATAGTGTTGCTGTTGCTCTTAACTTAATTATATATTCGATAAAAGAGACGTTTATAAGAATAACTTTATTTTGAAAGGTGTCACATTGATACTATTTTATTATCGTTAATTAAAATAGTAATTCAAATTTTATGTTGTTTTTATTTAATTAAATATTGTTTAAATATTTATATATGTGCATCATAAATACACACATGCAATCAACCACAAAATTGATCAACCAAAAAAACCATATTAATTATGTATTTAAATCCATAATCAAGTGTTTTATTTTACTTTTGGGGTTTAATTCATTTAATTATATAGAATTTTTCTGTATATGATTTTTGAAATATATAATTTCTTATTTGAAAATACAAAGTTCCGAATCAATGAATTTTAAAGTTCCCTTAGGGGCCTATATTGTTTTTTTTTTTTGCTTTATCTATTAGTGTAGTAATTTTTGTGTTGTTTTGACATAATTATTAAATTCTTAAATAATCCAATACAAATACGCCATCTGTACACAAAGCAAAAAAAAAAAAAAATAAATAAATCCAAAGTAAAAGCTTTTTAAACACGAGCGCACAAATTTTGAATTATTTTAAAACTACAAACAATTTTTTCATTCATTTTGTTTATTACGAAGACATCAAACAAGGAAACAGAAATAAGTAAAACTAATAACACTTTATTTGATGTGAAACTATTTTTTCAAATAATTTTTTAGAATTCTGTACACTAAGTTTTATAAAAATTGGGCATCAAAACGAAGATATCAATAATTTTAAATACGCTAAGATTAAGGACTAAAGCGCTTTTTTTTAATAAGATTTTGGTTTATTTACTTCAGAGTAACTCGTAAAAAAATTCAATAAAATAAAAGTTTTGTGACATCTGATAACAAAAAGGTTTGTTTACATTCTACAAGTTAATTATCTCACACTTCCATTAAGGTTGATGACTTTTGAATTTTTCTACAAATTCAACAAAACTTTTTCTTTGATACTTATTATCTTGTACTTCATTCTATTTTAACAAAAATTTAAATGTCAAAAAATTAAATTTTGATATTCATGTAAAATTTTTATATGTATATACATATATATATTTATAGTTTCAAGTACATATGCATATTTAATATAAATTATATTTACTACCCATATAATTTTGAAATAAATATTTATATTCATGTTGTGTTTGGATATTAAATTTTCCAATTTCCCCTAATACTGAATTTCACCTTTAATACTACTACACCATAATTTAGTTTCGTAAGGCAGAAGAGAAAATTAGAACCATATAATAATGCAAAAAGTTGAAGACTAAAAATATAAGGTTCAAAATTTAAGGCCCAAAAATATTCTTAAAAACTTTTTCACTTATTTACTAAAGTATATTGTGAAAGTTTTTGTAATAACTTTTCGCGTTCTTTATTCTGGTGTTCTTCTATGTTATCTTTATAATATACATATAAAAGTAAAGGTAGAGAAATGTTTTCATTATTTCAATGTTTTTTTAAAGACCTTGAATATTTTATTACTTATGGTAATTATATTAAAGGTATTCGGATTTGGGGTGCAAATATGTTTTAATATAATATTTCCGCTTTCAGTTCTGTGCGTAATACGGATAGTTTTATTAATTTGTCCTTATGTAAATTAGTGATTTTTATAAAATTTCAATTCCAAAAGAACAAAACAGAAGTATCACTTTAAAAATGTAAGATACATAATACTTTAAAGTCCCCTTAGTAAATATTTATTTTGTATGCGAGAAAGATAAAAATAATAAAAAACGATCTTCGCTTAATAAAGAAATTGGGGTTATTGTTAGTCTGATTGCTTAACAAGTGACATTTACTACTGCACATTTAACAAATAGGTAAGTCGATAACTAAAATGTTTTCTTAGAATGTCAAGTAATTTTTAATTGTGATTGACAATAATGCCTTTCGCGGTTTTTATACTAGTTTTTTTATTCAAAGGTCTTTAAAATACAACATAAATTTTTTAAGACACTAAAAATGTAGAAAATAAAAAAAATTGTTAATGATAACATTGAAGGGGTCTTTTATTAAATGTATGTACGTACATACATATGTATGCGATGCTATAACTTGAATCTGAAAATCCATATTCATTAATCATCTTTGAATCTGAGTGAGAACTTTAACTGTTTGGAAATTTGGAATAATATATCTAAGTGAAAATTTAGGAATGCAGGTTAACTTATAACCTATGCTCGACTGATTATTGGAATGTGATTTGTACTTGAAGTTTCATCCGCTTGTGTAATGTGTATATGGCCAGCACAAAAGGAATTTCGATTACAAAATTAAAAAGCAGAACAAAAAAATTAAGGTAAGAAATTTCAAATTAAAGTAATTTAAAATTTAAAGTTGACATTAACTATTTTACGAATATTTTTGTATGCATGTGTGTAATTCGGTTTCTCCCATATGAACGGTTCTAAGTATAAATTGGCAATTGTTAGACTTTATTAAAGCGTAATTCAATTGTGTACCTACCCATGTATGATACAAAAGTGTAATAAAATGTAAAACTTATATAATTTTGTAGTGTCTGAAGTATATTAACATACCTACTGAAAAAATTATTGTTATTGCCAAAATATTTATAATTTGGGAAACTTTTTTCAAACATCAGAAAAATAATATTTTTATAAAAAATACTTTTGAATTATTTTTATTTTAACAATAATAATTTGAAATTTGAAAAGTTTTTCAACAAAAGTTGAGCATATAAACCATAGTTTTATAAAATCTAGGGTATGTAGTACCTACATTCCCTAAATATTTTGATGAACGACTTTTAGTTTGACATTTTTAAAATATTTTCTTTTGAATAATTGTGAAAACTTTTTAATTTTTATTTCATTAATTTAAATTTTATTGTATTCATTCAAAACCTACACAATTATTTTGTTTTATGATACCCCAAAAAATTGTTTTTTTTTTTTTAAATTTGAATCGAGAATGTGTGATTTTTGACTATTTATTTCTTTTAGGGTTTAAAACATCCAAAAACTTAATTTTTACATTTTTGCATGACACAGAAATGTTCAACTTTTCTACTAGAATCCTTTTTCCCTATTCGAATGTAAGAACAAGATATTTTTATATTAAATATGTGTGTATGTGTTTATGCTAAGAGATCAGGTGCAATTGTATGTTCAAATATTTTCCTAAATAACTTATTTGTATTATACAAAAAACTGTTTTATTAATGTTGGATCATGCTTACAGCTCCATATTAATTTGCATATAGAAAGAAGTAATTAAATATTCAAATCATAATTAATAAACCTTTCCTTGCAAGAAAGACTAATACAATAAAATATTAGTTCTTCTTGCAAAAAGAGACTGAAGCACAAGTGGAATCAGTGTTTATTTTAAATATTTAAAGCTTGGTATTTGCTTTGTTGCTATCACATTTTTTTAAGTAAAACAAGTAGTGGCAAATTTTTGTGTCCTTAAATCGAACGTACCAGCTCAGTTCATATTGGTCTTACATGACCATTTTTCATTAATAATAAAAGCAAATAAATTGAGTTCTGGTTCAATTTTAATGTATACTACAAACTTTAAAAGCACGTTCCTAAAATATTCCAATTTGCCTGATGAAAAAATTTCCTGGTACCTACCTAATATCCTACCAATTTTACAATAGAATTTTACGTTTTCTTACAATATAAAAAAAAAAACAACTTTTATTTCGATCTTCTCAGTAATTCTTTGGGTTCTTTTACTTTTATACGTGCAGTTATTTTATAAATTCAAGCATAATATACACAATATTTTAATATGAGTCTTTTTTTGAGTCCACATTTAATATTTCATGACTATGATACTTTTTGCAACAAAACAATACAAAAAAAAAAAGGAAAAAGGAACATATTTTCTCAATAAAGGTTATTTCTAATGTAAGTTCATAATAAAACTTTTCTTTGTTCGTTCAGAAATGAAGAAAAAAAAACAAAATCAAAAAATAAATCCCAGTCATCTAAAACGAAAAGGTTACAAAAATGTAAATGACCCAAAGGATTTGAGGAACAAAAACAAAAATAATAACACAACAAAACATTATCACACTATGGGCTATCAAAAATTTATTTTTACACAATGGCCAGCCCCAAACATATTACAAAAATATACCGAAAACAAAAACAGAAAAGATTAAACCAAATAATTACTACTGAAAAAGAAAAAAATATTTTTCTTTTTGGTTGTACTCTTTAAATTAAGTTCTGAGGTATTTCTGGTATATTTTTTTGTGTTTGAATATTTTTAAATTTCGTAGAAACACTGTAATTTTTAACTTAATCAGTAGAACTATTTACAATCCGTTGCAATTTATATAAATTATAATAATTTATTGTAAAGCGACACAAAGGAAGGTAAAAAATATTTTTGTCTTTCTTAACCTTAAAAATTATTCAAATTTCCTGTTAAAATAGCAGTCATAGAATGGTGCAATCGACTTTGAATTAATGTTAGCGCATATATTATTTTTAATTTAATTAGGCACAGTTGAATTGTACATGAGCAATTAAGTATAATTTCAAATATAGCTATAAATTTAATATAGAATTCAAAATTTTTTCATTAAATACAATGTAAATTCGAAGAAGTTTCAGTATAATTTTTAAATAGTATGTGTTAGTATGTAGTCGTGTTGTTCTATTCAAAATATAAATTTTA